AATAATAATAATAATAATAATAATAATAATAATAATAATAATAATAAATGAATAAATAAATACAAACTATGTTTACTCTAAAGTAATATTGTATATATAGTAATATTGTATCGTACACTATCCCCACCAGGGCTAAGTCTTTCGTGGTAGGACTTGAATTTCAAACTACGATACCCATAAGCTCGCGAGGTTCCGTCAGAGGCGGATGTGCTTTCCGATTGGTTGAGAAAAATGTTTCAAAAACAGTGCGCGGGGCAAAGTTCGCGAACACCGTTTGAACAGAAGCGTTCAAATACAACTGCTCCTCAAACGGTTAGCATGTGGAGTAAAATGATTGGACTTTTTCCGTAAAGAAAATATTTTTCTGAAACTTTTAGCGCTTCCAGTAAGTTCCACTTAAGGCTTATTTTCCGCTTTCATAATGTTAAAGTGTTAGCGTGGCAGCGTCACACTGTTTGACGTTTCACAAACACGCAAAGCTTGGCCACTGTCTCGAAAGTGGACATGTTTTTTTAAATCTTTTACTAACGCATCTTCTACAGGTGTAAACATGAAGTGTTTGAAAGTGGACGAATACATCAAACGGACTGCGTCTGCTGAGGACGCAGGAATTTTATATCAAGAACTAGAGGTTAGCATAATAACTAACTCATGTTTCTACCAGCTAATTTACTCAGTATTTTCAGTGTTGCTTCTGAAATAATATGAAACGAACATTAATTTCCCCAATGCATCTTGTTCAGTTTGCTTTGTAAGGAATACTTTCAATATTTATGCATCAACTGTATTTTTCTTGCATTGTAAACAATGTTTCCAGCAATTTTTATAGATCTTTTTATTTATTTTTCAGATTTATGTCAAGACACAACCTGGACTTCAAGGGCGAACATTGTGTGACCGGGTTATCAGAGCTTGCAATCATCATCTTGGAGTTGGATCTCCAGATATTGGTCATATAAATCAGTTAGTTAAGCTGGTTGAACTTTCTCTTCATGGCTACGATATTTCTTCAGATTGTGGTGTTCAGGGAAGTCCATTGTACATGGAAAAGATCATTTTCCACATTATAAAGAAGCTAACCTCCCTAGAGGTGCACACACTATGCAGCCATGTTGTTGAGCTGCTTTACAAAAGACTTTCCACAGCACAACAGGTATGTTTTACCGTGGAATTCTTATGCATGTGCCTCTGACATCTATGTAGCATTATTCCTGTCAATAGTAAAATGCTCTGTATCATCTGTAGGTTCAAGAGGACTACAGTATTCTTGTCCGGAACTGCTTTTCTGTGCTTTGGAATGGACTGTCGGCTACCAAGGAGAAGAAAATCCTGGATCATCGGGGGAAATTATGCAGCCAGATGCAAGCTTTGAGCTTTCTCTTGTTGTGCAGCACAGAAACAGGACTGTCCATTTCTAAAGCTCCCGTTTTTGCCGAGAATGTCATCGCTGACTTCGAGCAAGGATGTGGTGCATTTACAAAGGAGGATGCTTCTTTTGTTGTCCAGGAAATGAACAAGCTTGTCAACAAATTTTTTACCTGTGATCTTGAGCTCGAGCAGTGTTTGGAGACATCAAATCTTTCTGTACTTTCTGAAATCGTGCTGCTCACAATGAAGATGCTTTGCAAGACCAACCACCACAGTATGGCTGCCACCTTCTTGAAGGAAATGGAAAGCAGGTTTTCACGCTGCGTTAGCTCTCAGTCCACACCACTAATGCTTGGGAAATGGGTAATAGAAATTCATTCAGCAATAAAGACTGGCAAAGAAAACAGCCAGGCTTTAACAGAGTGTGCTCGGATCTTGAGGTCTCTCTCAGTGGATATGGGCAACAGAGAGATCCATGCTGTTCTGGAAGGTTGTAGTTTGATTGTTTGGGCTGTTGCAAGTGGGCAGCAGAATGTATTAAGTGGACCAGGGCTCCTGGCTCTGTTTTCTTTTCTTGACGAATACCATGAGCTGATGAGGACACTGCTTAACAAGGTTAGATTGGCCTGCTGAGGGGAAAAAGCTTGTCTACGAATCAAGGATTTCTAGATTTTCACTGAACTTTTTCTTGCTCCCCTCTTAGAGTTCAACGTGCCAGGCAGAGTGTGCCAGACTGCAGCAGGCTCTTTGTTACAGTACTTACCAAAGTTTTATTTGTGTGAATGACAGCATGGTTGCATTACAGGTGAGACCAACTTTGAGCACTATTTTGATGAGCACTCCAGTATTAAATGATTGTGATTGAATTTTTCTTTTTTTTTTATTGCCGATTATCCTATGTTGCACCTAGTTGGAAAACAGTGACACTTTGGACAGAGTTCTGCTCTACTGCCTGGCCACAGCTGGACTGTTGATGACAGAACTTCAGAAGTTGTCTAATGAAAGCCTCTATTTTAAAGCAGGTTATTGGTCATTTTAGTGCTCAAATTTCACTTGCTGCAGAGATCATTGTTTGATGATATTAACTTGTGTTGGCTGTATCTTGCAGTGGTAGCTGTGAGTAACTTGGCTTGTGGCTTGTTCAACCGACGCCTCTATGACCAGGCCCTCTCGCTGGCTGAGATTCTCTGCAGGGATCTATGCAAAAACCGCTACGCGTCACTGTCTGTTGATAGAGTAAGCTCAATAGATCTTTATTTTTTAATATACAAATACACGTGATGACATTTCTGTGCGAGCTGTTGGAATTTGTTGCGTTTGCAGTAGTTTTTGTCTCTCACCCATAATTTGTAAGCAATATAATCTATATTGTCCTCATCCAGTTGAGTCGACCCTTCATGCTGGCGGTGCAAACTTCGCGGCGCACTGGTAAATTGGATGGAGCTCTAGATTGGGTCATCATGTGGCTGAAGGCTCTTGGGGACAAGATCATTACTCACATGGCTGAACCAGTTTCTCTTTGGGTGAAGACAAAGACTGATGCAACTCTTGACTCTGACAAGGATATAAGACTCAGGTACAAATAAGTCATCCTTAAGGAGCTGGATTGTTTCACATCAGATTGAGTTTGTCAGAATATAATTGAAAATGTTACCCACTGCTGCTTGTCTTGTGCTGCTGTGTTACGGATCAGGACTCTCCGAGATGGTTTTGGTTCCGACGTCCCTGATGAGCAGGTGATGCGTTGTCTTCTGGAGGAGGAGCTGCGTGCCTATAAGGAGTTGGCAAGGGACACGTCCCAGGAACGTTACAACACTCTGTGTGACCTGTTGGACATCTGCCACGAGGGGAGTCCTCACACCCATCTACGCGCTTATTACCTCAGTGAAATGGCCCAAGTTGTGTGCTTCCAGGACTTCAGTGAACAAACAGACTGGTAATTACTTTTAAAACATTTTTTTTTAAAGAATTTCTTGGGGAATGTTGAATTTCGAATCTAGAATATGTTTTTCCGCTGCAACCTAATTTTATTTGAAAAGCTGACACCACCTGAGCAGCATCTGATAGCTGTGTTAATTATTTAACTGTTTTAATTACTCGACATTGTTATTAATGTTGTCTTGTATATTTCTGACTATTCAGCATGGCAGTGGATTTCACCCATGAAGCTTTACGGCTTCTGGACGAAGAGCCACAAACTCCAGAAAATGCTGACAGACTGAAGGATGACAAAGCCCATGCTTTGCTCTGGCTTTATATCTGTACAGTGGAGAAGAATCTCCAGGAGGTGATCTTTTTTTTCAATATAAACATATATATATATATATGTGTGTGTTTGTAAATGCATATGTTATGGCCCTTTATTGTAATTTTTCTCAATTGTAACACTCAATTTCAAAAATGTTTTTTGGGGCGTCCGATCAGGCCATTGAGAGTGACCAAAAAAGGAGAGAGCTACGTCAGCAGATGCGGTCTGTGACTGATCCAGTTTGCAACAATGATTTTGATTATGAAGACAAGCAGAAATCACAAGACAGCACTCTGGTGTATGAAGGCCTCCACTTCAACCTGGCTGCAGACAGTGGAAGTGACGTTTTTCTTACAATCAAACTCATCTGTCATTTGCTGATGACACTCGTTAACAACCCTTTTTTTTCTCCCCTCACTCTCTCCAAAGAGTTGTGTTTGCCGCTGGAAAAAGCCCTGGATATATGGTCTGCTCTATTCAAGGGGAAAGCCCTGCCCACCGTGAGGAACCCTAAACAGACCTGCAGCTCCATTGCTGTGGCTGCAGCTCTTCTCGGACTCATGGGAAAGGTAAAAACATTGAATGTGTCGAAATCCTGTGGTCCCTTTTTTTTTTCTCTTGTTTTTAACCATTGCTTGTCAGTTGCTAAAAAGTGTAGCGCATCTGCTTAATCTTTAAGAACATATTTTTAACTGTATAGCATTATTGCATTTATTGTGGATCTTCTTTTCTCTCTTAAAAAGTGATTTGTAATGAATTATCGTGTCAAATGCTGTAATTTATCTGTAATTTACAAATCGCATTATGCATTTTTCTGTAGCCTCTGAAAGCTTTGAAAGCGCACCAACTTGGGATTGGATTTTCACGTAAACTTGGCGACACTCGAAGTTGTGCTAGTTCTCTCTGTCAGTCAGCCAGCATCCTCATTGAGATCGGCAGCCCTGAATTGGCCCTGGTAATTCCCTTTTCTCATGACTAATCCTTGATAAAGCCACTGTATCTTTACTTTATATATGTCTTTTTTTAAAATGATTTTAGATGAGTTCTTTTCTCCCTAAACCTGCAACCTGTAATGTTTAGGCCCAGCTTAATGAGGCAGGGAAATTGCTGACTTCAGATTCCCCTGAGGGACCTTCTGCTCTCTCCATGCTGGTCAAATTACTGAAGGCTCAGTACTTCTACAGCATAGGACAGGTATGTAGTGACACGTCTGCTTGCCTCACTTCTCGCGCTGTGCCTCTGACCGTGCGCTTTGCTATGTTTCAGGTTGGCCGTGGCGTGCCGTATCTGTGTGAGGTTCTTAAAGAAGTAAATACTCAAAAACAGTCGAAGAGCTGGTACATGCTGCGCGCGCAGGCTCTCAAGGCCTGCAGCTCCTTTCTGAATGTGGATACGACTCTGCTGCCTGAGGCCCAGCGACACCTTATTAGGCAGCATGGTTGGCATAATCACACACACCGCATCATCGCTTCAATCTGCAACATGCGAGTGAAATGATGGCCTGTTTTTTTCTATGTTTTAGGTTTCAAAAGTCCCGATGCCGCCCTTTACGAGAGTTTGAAGCTTTTCTGCAGCCTGCTTGTAACTCTTGTGGGAAAGGGCTTGTATGGGAACAACAGCGGCAACTCAGATGTGCGTTTCGTCCACCAAGGTGTGTTTGGCCCACAATCTAAAACCTTTAGAATATGTTTCTCATTTTTGTGCTGCTTCCGTAATGATGTGTGTGACCCTGATTTGGTTTTCGAGCAGGAGACAACTTGTTGCTGAAGTGGCAGCTGCTGTCAGAGCTGCTGAATTGCTCTGTGAAGATGGTGGCTCTGCGGAGCAGCACTGGGGCCATCAATGATGCCCGACTCCAGTGCCTAGAAGCGCTAAAACTGGCCATCAAGCTTCAAGCTCTTAGCCAGTATGTTCATATTTGTCTTATGTGTAATATCATCAATGATGCAAGTTCAACAACTTTGTATTTGGTCTGACATAAATGTCTTGAATTCGGTTTAACACAATTTAGCACACAACGCAGTCTTCACTGTGTAATGCTGAGCTCAGTTCAGCTCCTGAGAACTACACTGCTGCACATACTTTCACTTTATGCCCTCCCCTAAACACCAACATTTCAACCTCCTGGAATAGGTTTTTTCATTTGATCTGTTGTGGATTTATTTTAGATGTGCCGAGCTGTTGGTGATCAAAGCGGAGCTGGAGCTGATGCAGGGGGAGAGAGAAGAAAGTAGAACTGACTTGCACATAGTGAAAAACCTCCTGGACCGCTGCACAGGTGAATGCTCATAGCTCAGGTCCAATAGAGCCAGGCTGGTCATTTATTTTTTAATTAGTTTTCAATTAAATGACATGTGTTTAGAATTAAGCTGTGTTTTTGCATGAACTTTTTTGTAACTATTCTCAGTCTTTATATAACAACGATTTATTTTGAACCTTCAACCCGTTTCATTGTAATCTTTATTTTGATCTTCCCTTTCTTCTGTCTGTAAGACTTTTGTTATCAGGTTACAACAGTAGATGTGAAAATCAAACCAAGAAAAGGTCGTCCAGCTCAGAGACCCCGGCCCCCCCTGCCAACCGTAGAGGATGATCTAAAGGACATACTGAGCACCCGGTGGATTTCCAAAGAACCAGTGATAAAGGACCAGTCCTTCTCCCCTCCTCTCAAAGATACGCCTCGCCGGTGGCTCTCCTCCTTAACCCATGGCGCTGATTGTGCTTGCCCCTGCTGCTCTGAGCCCTGTTTGGGTCGTGCCACTGCTCGCTGGGCTGCCACACAGGGTGACCTGGTTCTTCAGCAGGATCCCAACAACGCAAGTGTTGGTTCCGAACTTCACTGGGCAGCTCTGGTCCGCTCTAGATCTATAACCACCCACCTGAGAGAAAAGTTGACTGAGCTCTTCCCTCCCCGTGACCCTGCCAAACGCATTCCTAAACCCTCCCTGATGCAGGATGTTATTGGCCGTGTGTACCTACATATGGCCCAGGCCGGGCTCGAGAAGAAGCTAAACAAGGTCTGTGGTATCTGGAAAATACTGGACTCTGGCTTAGCATTTGTTGAAACGATGCCCTCTCCTGTCCTAAAGCCTATTAAAGCAGGACTAATGGCCACCAAGGCTATCACATCACTATTGACGCTGGCTGCCAAAAGAGGCTGCTGCCCAGAAGAACTCTTTTCAGATGTTTGGACTTGGAATGCACCAAAAGAGCATAAAGAAATGACATCAGAAAAGAAAACCATCCCGCCCCCAGTCATTCGTAAACAAACCAAATCCTCCATCAGAAACCCGCATATGGCTGACTCAAAAAAGGAGGGGACAAAAGGCAGAGCTCCCAAACCCAAGATTTACGTGACAGGCTTGTCAACCAAAGAAAAGAGCCATGTTCCCATGACACCAGTACCAGCCAAGTCCAGAGCTGCTATCAAAGACCTGGGGTCATTCGAGTTTAACACAGTGGTGCCTTCCTTGATTTGTACCCCAATCCAGAAGGTAAAATACCCCCCTTCAGCACAAAAAACATCAAGAAATGCTTCTAATTTACAGTTTTGCGTGTATGAAGAGGTGTCACCACTTAAAGACAAAGCTCAGCTCGTACCTGCCGCTCCAAAACGGACAAAGAAATCCCGGTTCAAGGTAAGCATGAAGGTCCTGTAAAAGACAATATCACAAAGAAAGATTCCAGGCTTTATCGTGCAACTGTCTGACTGTTACGTTCTTAACACAGGTGGAATTTAGCGATGACAGCGACTCAGAGGCTGCGATCCAAGAAGAGCTCAGAGTAAAGGCAGACGCCCCAAAAAAGCGAACGACCACAAGGAGAGCAGGCCCCAGTGCCAAAACAGCCCCAGATCCACCTGCTGAGAAGATCCCCTTAAAGAGGCAGGCCAAGGGGAAAAAGAGCACCACGTTACCTCGTTCTGTTTCGTCAGAAGACGACGAAGCTTTGATCTGTCGACCCGCCTCCACCAGAAGAGGAAGGCCAAGAAAGCAGCTGTCCAAAACAGAGGAGCCTATAGAGGATCCAGACACAATGAGGACCATTGAGGAGGAAGCAAATGAAGTTCTAAACATGAGCCTCGAGCAGCTGAGAATATCAGATACAGATGGAGAAAATAATCCAGCTTCAAGTGAACCTATTGGTGTGTATTCTTCTAATTAAAAAATACCTACGTTGATGTTTAGTTATGACGGGTGACACCAGATTAGATACTAAAACAAATCGTTTAATCATCCTGAACAAAGTAAAGTACGATTTTTTTTTTCTTCTAAATGTTGCTTTGGAACATCACCATTAGTTTGTGAACATGGTTCAGTTTCAGAGATGTAATCGCTATGCTATGTAATGAAGATCCTGAAATAAGTGCATCTCTCTTCTCTGTCGTAGACCTAGATTTTGAGGTGTTGCGGCGGGATATTTGCTGTGACCTGGAGAGGGACGAGTTGGTGGAACTGAGGAGCAGAGATCAGCTCAGGGAAGATCCTTCTCATGTATCTCAATCAGACAGCAGGACTGGTGAGTGAAATTACGAATAGTACATAATGTACAGGCTGCAAGTTAAGCAGAATCCGATTTATGATTCTTGTTTTTTAAAAGCATACATTCTTTCAAGGTTTTTTCTGATTTAGTTTCTCTTCTCATCTTTTTCCATCTTAGAACATCTCTAAGTGTGATTTGATTTTGTAACTAGCTCAAGGTAGAGCCTTTTTGAAAGGGGTCAATATTTAAGATCTGGATTAATTTGATCTATTTCTTTCCCTCCACCCAGAGAATCTCTCTGTGAAGGATGTTCAGCTGCTGCTCCGCTCGGCCTGGCTGACTCTGCAGCATTTCCCCTGTCCCACCATCTATCCGACCCTCTCTGTTCTCCTGGCCTTGACCCTGGGACAGGAAGACCCCTTTTCCACCGCAATGCTGCATGCTGAGTCCTTTGGAGTCACAAGTCGCCATCGCACCATTCGGCATTTAGTCACTTCTCTCCAGTAAGCATACGATTTTTTATTATTTTTTGTAGTTCCATACGGATTCGATCACTCTCAGTTCAGCATTTAAGGATCTAAGTTATTATCTGTTGTATGAATGAAGGTATTTTTGTTACATTCTCATAGGAAGTTGAGAAAAGCATCCCATGACCTGGCAGACAGGATGGATGCTTTGCATCTGAGTGAGCCTGATGGAACCAGCACCTCTACTGAGCAGCGCTTGACTCGGGTGAAGGAAATCTTCTCCTTTCAGAGTGCTGACCCATCATCTTTCCCCCAGAGCCACTGCAAAGAGTTTAAACACCAAATTCAGCAGCTTCCCCCAGGTAAAGGAGTTTCAAATCCAACTTGTTAAATGGACAGAAGAATGTGTTTTGTTAGTTTAAATATGGAGGGACAGTGACATGACATGATGATTTCATTGACTGGGGTTATTTTAGTCAAGTTAATTGAGAGTTTGGACACACTGATTTCAATCCCAGTAATGATTCTTTGTTGTTTGTTTGTCGTAGGAGTGACTGTGTGCATGATGTCTGTGCTCGGAGTAAAACCGGGGGGAGTCGGGGACAGCATTATGCTGTCGCGCCTCGAGAAGGATTCTGCCCCTGTCACTGTTCATATCTCCACATCTAAGCAGCAGGTGAGGGTGCACGTATAATTTTGGTTATGCTTCTCTCTCCGGTAAGTAACAGTAATTCTCCGGAAATTTAAAAAAAAAAAAAAAAAGAAAGTTTTAAGTCTGACAGTTTTTCTCTGGACATTAGATTTTTTTCATTCATATGTAGTCCAGTTCTTGGTCTTAACTACTTTTAGTGGAATTATCCATATTGATAAAGGCATAGAATACCCTGACATTCCTTCACCACAAGAAAATGTAGATATGGATGTAAAAATATGATTTTTTTCTTCTTCTTTTTTTCATAATGAACGGACAAATATAGAGAGGAGGATTGAAAGTAGGTTTGGTAGAATCATTTAACTGCAATCGTTACATAGGAAGTGTAAAATCTTTTCTTATCGTCATGGCTGACTGTGTGTTGCGCAGCTCAACATCAGCAGCTTGGTGCAGGAGATGGACAGTATTCTTGGGGCGCAGAAGGTTGTGAGCTGCGTGGCTGATAAAACAAAGTGGTGGGAAGGACGATGGGCTCTTGACTCTCGAGTTGAGGTAAGTTGGACAGTTTGGGAGTGGAAAGGGTCGAAAGACACTCATTTGACTGCCCTCACAGTCAAATAAACCACATATGGGCAGTGAAAATAACTTCCCATCAGCAGCCTTTCAAATTAATATGACAAAATCTCATAAGAGTTTAAATCCATTTCCATCTTTCAGCGACTCTTGAAGAACATGGAGGATCTGCTGGGATGCTGGAAGAGCCTTCTCCTGCTGCCTTCATCGGATGCTAAGCTCTCCACGCTGGCTCATCAACTTTGCAAAGCCTTTTCTGCAAAAGGCGTGACGACCACAGAGGAGATGCTGAAGGTTGGTCGTGGACCGTTGGCATCGACGTCTGTGTTCCTCGGTTGAAAGAGCAGCAGGGCGGCAGTCTCTAAATGGCCTGATTTGTCTTACAGGCTGTGCTTTCTGCATCTCCTGCGCTCTCCGAGGACGATCAGAAAAGTTTTGGAAAGGGACTTTCACCCAAGTGGGACGTGGAGTGCGATCGTCTCCTCCACTCAGCGGTGTCCCAGCTCGCAGACAGAGAAGAGCCCCGAGGTCACATGGTTCTAATCCTGGACAAGGTGGGTTTAGTAGACGGGCGACACATAGCTGAAGTACTTTTGAAAGTTTGGAAGATATTTGTTGCTTACCAGCCCCTGTTCTGTGTTTTAATGCAGTACCTTCAAAAGTTACCATGGGAGAGCATGTCCATCTTAAAGTCTTCCTCTGTGAGCCGAATGCCTTCTCTGCAGTCACTGCTTGGACTGAGTGTTCAGAGAGAGGTAAGATCAGGCTCCGGGGATGTGCTGGTGTTCAGTTGTCTGTATGATTATCGCTTACTGACTTCTCTCTGTTAGGCTGGCTCAGACTCCATCCTGGGCCATGGTGTGAATACAAGCAAAGTGTTTTATGTCTTGGACCCGGATGCCAATTTAAGAAACGCTCAGGAACGATTTAAGGAGTGTTTTAGCAGGTGAGTTGTACAACTTTCTGCTTCGCATGCAGTCACGTCACTGCTTTATTTCCGGTTTATTTAATAACCATTCTCATCAAAGTAAACCGGACTGGCAAGGAGTGTGTGGAGTGGCTCCTGATGTGGCCCAACTACAAGAAGCTGTTGCAACCAAGGATTTGTACATGTGAGTTTGAGATCAAGTGTATTCTTCAAATATTTAAAACAAGAAAAGGAAACACTTTATTGAGACACTTTGGTTTATGACATTAACACTGAAGACCAAAAAAACAAGTAAACATCCACAAATGGATCCTGTCATTTACAAACATTTTCAGACCATCTGTGACCAATTGTCAGTTGGAAAAATTAAGAACTGGGCTTTTTGTTATTGTTATGTACATATATATATTTAACAGACGTCCAGGCATTTTGTCATGGGCAACAAGGGCCGGTCTGGTGAAACCTATTGGCTCGCTTCTCAGTGGACACATGCTATGGAATAGTCATTCTTTTTCAAGGGGTCTGAAAGGACCTCCCTGGCTCACTACTTCAATCAGAAGGCCTTAGCTCCTGCCCCATTGTATGTGTGGAAAAAGAAAGTAACACAATAAATGTAGCCAAGGCCCCTGATGGATGCCTGAAGTTTATTTAGCTTTTGAATGGGAATCCCTATTTCTTTACAACCTTTACTCTCTGAATCTGCTGCCTACGGTTAAAAGTAGACGTGAATCTCCCGATGTCATTGCTGATAACAACAAAACACAGCAGACCAGATTAGGCACTCAGGATCTAAACTTCTGTCTGTGTTTTAGTTATGTGGGCCACGGCGCAGGTGTGAGGTTCCTGGACAGCCAGTCGATCCTCAAGCAGCAGATGAGAACAGCCTGTTTCCTGTTTGGCTGCAGCAGCGCTGCTCTGGCTGTGAGAGGCAATCAGGAGGGACAAGGAATCCTTCTCAACTACCTCATAGCAGGCTGGTGAGCTATGCCGTCTTCTGTCATTTACCCTGAGTAGATATCAGGCACAAATCCCCCATAATGGTAAAGTTATTAGATATGAATATGTTTCTTTAAATAAAAAAAAAAAGGAACTAGTTTCTCAGGATTACTACTCATTGGTTGTTCCATTTAATATTTTGCCTGCTGTGTATGTCACAAAGCTTGTTCTTTGTTTTGTAGCCCATTGGTTTTGGGCAACTTGTGGGATGTAACCGATCGGGATATCGATCGCTTCACCAAAGCCCTCCTGGATTCATGGCTGTCTGCTAAATCTGGAGCGCCTCTACTGGAGTTCATGGCTTCATCGCGTCAGGCCACAAACCTTAAAAACATCACAGGAGCTGCGCCTGTGGTCTACGGCCTGCCAATCCACCTGCAATGAAACTGATGGTCTCAAACTCCAAAACACCATCTGTTTTAACTGGAGGATGTGGCTTAACTTTTACTTGAAGTTTAGTCTGAATTTATGTATCAAATTCTGCCCCAATTCACTTTATTTAAACCACAGATTAGGTTTTAACTGTCTTTAGCATTGTGGATAATTTCAGATGGGTTGTGTGTTTGTTTTTTTTAAATTGGAGTACCTCAGTTTTTGAATAAATGAGCTTGCGCATTCACATGTCTTGTCATTTCTAACAGTTCAGACTCCTCATATCCTTACTTTTAATTCTCCTCCATGTTAACCAGAATTTGTTTTCAGGAAAATATTTTATCAAGTCCTAAGCTGTTTCCAGGGGAGATAAGGGGCCTGTCGAAGGAGGTGATGCATCTCATTATGGAATTTTTATCTTCTGCACCTGTATATTACCTCAACAATTAGAAATTTAAATAAAAGTTTTTAATAGTGTGTAAAGTAAGGAACAAGGTACGACTAAAGTCCGCTGTAGAAATGAATTAAAGCTCAAAGGGCTGAGACAATAAGCTGCTATCATCTGGAAGAGACTAGAAGATTGAAATCCTGTTTTTCCAGATGCTCACTGTAGCAGAGGTAGGAGGTAGGCCTCGGTGTCTGAATGTCTATCCAAAGATGGACACAAAATTGGCCAAATCCACAGCTTGTTGGAAATCAAACAATAAAAGATTTTATGCTTAAAAGTATGTGAAACTGTCAAATGGCACTAAATTACTTTAAAAACCAGTAACTAAAACAGTAAAAACCATCTAAACAGACAGACACTGAACAGAGACACCATGCATGCTGCAATCTATAGAAGTATCTTTTGACAACTGAATAAAACCTACGGCATGCAGGTGTGTGTGTGGCTCTCCATATTTTCTTAAAACTCCTTTACAACATTTATCAGAATATATACGAAAGGGTTATAATAGTAAAATACAACCAGCCTGACATTTGTCGTCTGTAGTAATAAAAGCGAACTGTGAATTGTCTATTAACCATTAATAAATGATTACCAGCTGTTTTGGAAACAGAGCCTCGTTACTAACGCGCCATGATCATTTTGTCCACACGGGGTCAATGTTTCAGACTGATGACTCTCCTCCCCCTTCACCCGGAAGCACAACCGAAGAGCGGCTGTTTGTTGTCACGCTTTCATCATGGCAGTGAATCTCGCAGACCTCTCCCTGCCTCAGTTAGAGGGACTGAAAAGCCAACTTGACCAGGTATTACGTGAATTTTTCTTATTAACTGAGTGTGTTTGAGTCAAAGTCAACATGATAACAGGAGGGTGGCTGACGTGCTAACTAGCATAACCTAATGCTACCGTTAGCTTCATACCAGTACCGTGTAGTGTACCTCAACAGTTCAACCTGTATTGTTTTTCATTTTTAACGTTTCTCCCAGGAGGTAGAGTTCCTGACGTCCTCAATAGGCCAGTTCAAAGTGGTCCAGACGAAATATGTCGAGGCTAAAGACAGTTTGAATGTCCTGAACCAAAGCAATAAAGGTGAGTGTATTATTGATATAGTTAGCTCAGACGCCTACTGTCTACATGCTCTATGGTTTTCAGACCATTGCAAAGCCGGTTACTGAAGTATATGACATTAGTTGTTCATAGTTGAGAGGTGAACGACCATTAAATTATATCTTTGCAGCCAACAGGGATTGCATGTGACTCTCACTTTTTTTCTCCCCTCATATGCAGGAAAAGAATTGCTTGTGCCCCTTACTAGCTCTGTATCCTTATCTCAAAGCAATTGTCCTGATTGCAAACTTTTTGAAAACTTCTTTGAAAAAAAAAGAAGAAATATTGACATGAAAGCTGTTGGATGTTACTTCCGGTCATGTTTATTTACATTGGCATTTTTATGTTGTTTTTTTCCTGTCTGTTGTGATTTAATGGCAAATTTGTATCTCTTGATGTTTGTGCAGTACACATGGACACTAAAATAATCAAGCTAAATGTTAGTCCCAGTATCACCTTAAACTTCCTGTGACATTGGTCAGACACTTCTACATCAGTCTAATGCTTTTAGTAGTTTATGTGATGTGTGAACATTACCAGAAAACACCCTCTCTATCTGCTCTCTGCTGTGTCTACTGGAATATATTGTTATTCTTGAGATCTATGTTCTTGTCCTTGAGCTTTGCTTCCACTCAGATGTATGTCCCTGGAACATTAAACGATGTGGAACACGTCTTAGTGGATGTGGGGACAGGATATTATGTTGAAAAGGTAATATATTTTCGCATTAAAGAGCTTATATATATATATATATGCATTGACTTCACAAGTGTTTTTTTTTCATTTTTATTGAATGCACATGTTGTACATGTTTCCGTAGAATGTGGAGGATTCAAAGGCATTTTTCAAGCGTAAAATAGACTTCCTCACAAAGCAGATTGAGAAAATCCAGCCTGCTCTTCAGGAAAAGCATGCCATGAAACAAGGTGTGTCTTTACTATTTCTTATCATATTCATCTCTTAAAAATTGTGTCTCCCGATGTTCTATTCCCCACTGTGTTTTACTAATTCAGTTTCATTTGCATCAGATTATTTTTGTGGCATCTTGCTTCACTTGAATTTTGCAGGATATTGTCAAGACCTAAAAGATTATTAAATCTGTCTTGGTTATGAACACAAAGCTTTTTAGCTAAGCACAGGGAAAATCCTTCTTTTATGATGAATAAGTTGGGCTGATGATAGACAAAGCATGAATATATTTTGATAATTGGGCACATGTAAATACAGGTGATGAGTTAGGCCAATGGTTAAATAGAATATAATTGGGGTTAGTACTGCTAACCTAATGATTTATGTGGGAGGTATTGCATTTGAACCTTTCTAATTATGTTTCATCTGACTGTGTGGAATCCTTCTCCTTGTTTGCACTCATGGACTAGTTTTCTGAAAATCTAACTGTTTTTATATAAAATAAATATGTAAGGCTGTTTGTCTTCCAGTGGAAATCAAATTCAGCACACCACTCTTATTTAGCATCACAAGCTGTTTGATGCTTACCTTATGGTGATACGGGCATATGTCCATAGACTATTAAAGGAGTTCCAAGTGAACCAGAGGAGTTTGTAGCACAATCTTTTGAAACTCCTTTTTTGTAAATATATGTTTTTGTAACTTTATTCCACTTAAGCTGTCCAATTCAAATCATAAGGTATGTTTTCGCCAAGAGCCCTGATCCAAGGTACATTTGGCACCGAAAGAATTCTGTGGAGGGAGAAAATGTCATTTCATTAAGGATGTCAAATGTGGATGTCATTAGATGCTACAATATGTGCAAAACAAGCTTTTCCTATTTTTCCTTATTTATTTTCTACAGTGAGATGGTTTCATTTAAAGATGATATTTAAAGCTGCAAGGGCCTTTTTTGATAAAGGCTATACTGCATGCATCTCTACTTTATACACTGCCTTTACTTTACATTTATGTCTTGCAGCTGTTATTGAAGTTATGAGTGTGAAGATCCAGCAATTACAACAGGGCCAGCAAGCATCGCAGATGGTTGGAAGCACCAAGGCCTAAGAGACTACTGAAATTTCCACGGCAGGCATTTTTAAGTTTGTGGCCACAAAGACAAAAACTGAAAAACAAAGAAATAATTTCATGTAGACTGTCACAAAGAAGAAATTGTGCTGCATCTTTTTTAATTAATTGAATTGGGTGTCCAGTTAAGTCTGAAAATAAAGAATTCACTATAGATACAATTGACAGTGTTTTTGTCTTATTGTTTGCACATTACTAAGTTTATCAAACATTTCTGCGCCTGCTTGATACAAAATATTTTATACAATTAAAAGACAACTGAATTCCCATCTATGCTATTTACATGGTTGCTTCACTCAGAGATTTATTTATTTGAATTATTTTTTTGTCAGGAGCAGAGCTTCTGACCAGCTTTGCAGCAGTTCTACAATGTGTTGCAACGCCGCACCAGGTTGTCTGCGCTCACACTAGAACTTCCCAGTGCAAATGTACCAGAACACTTCCCAGTAAGGACAATAGCAACAACATAAGTTCATGGTTCCATTAGACCATTTCTCAGCAAACATGCCACGTGGCTAAAATTGGGACATTGGTCATTAAGGTTCATGTCAGTTCAGGTTTTCTTTATTAAATAGTGAAAGTGCCCCTCTGGTTTGTCATTATACACAAACTTACACTGCCCAAAGTCAAATCTTACTGAGCACCTTATGAAGCAAACAAAGATCCAACTTTTCTACAGAAAATTTCAAAATAAATTAGGTTATTGGTAATTTTGATAATTTAATTATCAATAGATATAATCATGGACTTGTCCTTAACATTTGTACATTTATCAAATGTTTTTATATCAAGTGAGTTATGGAAATACAAGGGTGTTATTTTCTATGATGGGGCTGACTGGAATTGGTGGAGAGCTATTCAGAACAGGCCACACCAAAAAAGGGTTGAAACAACTGATTTCATTTCATGGTGATTCAGTGGCTCTACATCAGGAGCCGGTGACTCACCTACAGCCTGGTTAGAACCTTGAATCAATCCTGCCCAATTTAGCACAGCTGTAATCGCCACAAATCCAAATGATGGACTGAATATCAACTTAATTATATAACTGAATAAGTCATCAGAATCAAGTGACAATAATGTAGGTGGCTTTTTTTTAGTGGTGTCAGGGTTGCTGGTTTGTTTATGTAAAACTCAGCCTTCACCTATGAATTAAAGACAAATCTAATTGAAAAGTTAAACACAATGTAAAAAAAGAAACCAATCTAGAGCAGTTTATGTAAAGTGTTATGAGTGCATTAGGTGTGCTGCTTCTGCGGTGGACGGCCTCCTCAGAGGTCACAGAGGCTGGCGGCCGTTGGGGTCTCAGCGGGCGGGGGCAGCGGCAGCAGCAGTCGCGGGCAGGAGACGGAGCTGTCACATGCTAGTTAACCGCGGCGAGGCTGACATGCGGGCGGAGAAGTTTGCCGGGGAAGATAACTACTAACATGGGAAGCTTGTTTCTGTAACTTCCAGCGAGGACAAAAAAACAAAAAACAAAAAAACAACAACGTTACACGTTGGTTTAAGTAGCCGTTTGAGTGATTGTTCGAGCGAGACGACACGCTGGTGTAACCTCAACGGTAGCGGCGGAGAAAGCAAGGACAAGTAACAACTCCCAACAAGTGCGACCGACATTTCTGCGCATCGAAGTCTTTTTTTTTTTGGGACAGCGACGCCATCAAGTCGTCTAAGTTTATCGGAGCTGAAGAGGGCAGATATAGAGGATTAAATCAGCATGGTAAGTGTGGGGCCCTGAAGCGAGTGGACCAGCTAATGAGTGCCAACCTGTTTCGGTTGTTAGTTTGCAGGGTTACACGCTGTATTGTTGGAGCACGCCGAGTCAGTCTGTCGGAGCAGTGCGCTTACATTTTTGGTTTGAGTACACTTTGAGCACAGAAACTCCACTTCTATTTATCTTTTTTTTTTTTTTTTTTTTTTTTTACAACTCGCCGTTTTGACTCTGCCAAACAAATTGGCTTCAGTTAGTAAAGTAAATCCGGTTCCATCTGGTCTGCTAGTAAACACAAGCTAGCTAGCTTAACACCGGTATTCGCAGTTCTGCAAACTAACGTTAAGTGACTGTGAAAGTGCCAACAAACCGTTCCTATCGCTTCATAGGTTTAACAAGACCCTTAAAGTGTATTGAAACCTATCTCAGTCCGCAGCGTAGTGCGTTGAACGTTTTGACATTGCACGTGTAGCAGCTACTACATGTGATGCGTGTAAAATGTTAGCTGTTGCACAACTGTTAGCTGGGTGGCTAACCAGCGACAAAGGTCAATTTGGACAGCAAGTGGTGAACAAAACTAAATTGTATTATAAAACATTGTTCAAGAAGTCACTAACGTTTGTTTTACGGGCACATATGGGATCTTTCCTAATATCTCAGCACTCTTAAAGTAGCAAGGGCACGTTTGCACCACGTGCTCCCCTCTGAGTCAGACTGCTGTGCCTCGCATTAAATATGGAGCTGCTGTTTGCCTACGAAAAATTTGTTCGCAGACGGACGGGGGGTTATGGTTTTAGGATTTGAGGTAAATATTGTCATTCGTCTTCAACTTCTACCATTGTGCCATATTGGTTTTACATTGGGCAATAGGTTATAGACTTGTTGAAAGCACGCTGAAACCCAGAGGCGGACCCGCGCCCATGTATGGCCGCATGTGACTGACAAAGAGGCGGGGTTGGAGTAAAAAACCAGCCAATGAGAACTCGGCTTTCTGTTTGTGTACTGAGGGAAGGACTTTAGAAAGCCCTATTCTAAGTCCCTTCGTTCACTGGATTAGACTTAGGTATATTTAGTTGGTTTTATGTAAGGTACTAACATTGAACCTTTTTATTTTTGTCAGATTTATTTTAGTTTTTAATTGCACAACAATCACAAGTGTTGCATGAAATCCACATTTTTAGTAGACATGCATTCCTAGGTAAGGCTTTACATTTTTCCTAGTTTACTAAAAAAGTGTGAGTATATGCATCATTCTCATAATTGAGAATATGAATTTGGCAGTATTTTGTGTAGAAATGATATTTGGGATTATCCATGCTCCAGCCTGCAAGGCTTAATGTCCTCTGAAGGTGTTTTGTATACAATGTCAGGATCATGGTTTTACAAACATACTGTTAACTAATCTCTAAAATAATATTTGTCAGTGTTTTTTTCCCATGGTTAAACAAACTTTCTCAGCCCCTCTGCCAGCTTAAGAAACATGTTTTTAGCTGCTTCCTAAATTTAGAAAACCTATGTTCAGACTTAGGATCATTAAAAACAAATCTGTAACATGAACATTCAGCTAACCCTAACATCAATTGTGCAGGTAACTACAAAGGGAGCTGGCCTCAATCCCAATGCCAAAGTGTGGCAGGAGATCCCTGCCCAACAGAGTGACCTTCCTGGGGAACCAGCCGATTCTCCCTGGGTTCAGGGCTATGCACTACCCGCAGAGATGACCGATGGTATGATCCTTTTAGATCAGTGTGTAGAGACTTTAACTGAAATGAACTTTTTGTGTGTGTGTGCGTGTGGGAGGGGGAGGTTCTAGACTATTTAATCTTTGAAGAATGTTGACAGACTGTGTAGCAAGTGTAAACATGACCAGTATTTACTGAACTTTAGCAAGATAATTGCGCAGACAGGGTGTAGTAGTTGAGTCTTTGTGTAATCGTATCTCTTGGATTTGGGTATATGCAGTAAAGTTTAGATAGAGCAAAGAGGTCATTGCATAATCGGTCAAATAGTATTTTTCTATTTTCTAGGTTATTCACATATTCCCTCCCCAGGAGGTAAAGGCTACTACACCGAATATGTAGACAGCCCTGCTGACTACATCCCTGTACCTGTAGGCGATGTGCTTGACATGGATCAACTGGACTTGGGATATATAGGCTTTGACCCACAAGGCGAATCTGCCACAGATGGTGAGGTGTCAAAGGAACAGCCAGTAACTGAAGAGAGTCTGCGAGAGTCTTTGAAGAATCGACTGGAGTTTTGCTTTTCAAGGTGGGCAATATGGTGTTAAATAATTTTTTTTCCCCCTTTCCTAGGTCCTTTCTGCATGTCGGTAGCAAAGTGGGTTTTCATTTGGATATTAATTTGGTTCAGCAGGGATTTTAGTTAATGCAAATGATATTGTATTCGTCTGTATTTTTCCATAAGATGAGTGGCAGAACAATTATGTTTTGTATGACTTCTTTACCATAAATGTATTGATTCAGTTTTTAATTAAGACAAGGGTGTTAGCCATTAATGTAGCAGTCGTGCATTTATATGCATGTATATATTAAATATGTATTTGTGCTTACAGAGAAAACCTGTCTAAGGACCTGTACCTGATATCCCAGATGGACAGTGATCAGTTTGTTCCTATCTGGACCATTGCGTGCATAGAAGACATCAAAGCTCTCACAACTGATATGGACCTCATTTTAGATGTACTGAGAGGTAATAGTGCTACTCTGCTCCTTTGGTTTCTGAGAATTTCTTGCATGTTATAGTGAGAGCATTGACATGGAAGATCTTGGCTATGTAACAAATTAGAATGAATGTATTGCATAAAATCAGGAATTTCCAGGTTATTTTTAATATTTTAAGATGGCACATTAAAACTCGGAGATTCAGCACCTGCTTCAGAATGCTGAAATGACTGTTTCCTTGTTTTTTGTTTTACAGCCTCTCCCATCGTTCAGGTTGACGAAGCTGGTGAGAAGGTTCGACCGAACCACAGTCGCTGTATTATTATATTAAGAGAGGTGCCAGACTGTACCCCGGTGGAGGTAAATATGACTTCATACTTGGTGCTCAGCAGCCCTCTGTACTGTCTTATTAAAAGCATACCCGCTGTTAGTAAGATGCCGCCAGATGTTTTTCCTTGCTTACACCTTGATGTTAGAATGTTTTGGATTCATTTTGTGTGTGTGTGTGTTGCGACTTGCCAGTCTACCATCACAGACCTTTTGGAAGCTGGAGTGGGGATAGTCTGTGGAAGAAATGTGTTATATGCCCTTTATCTTTGCATTCCTTTACAGGAAATAGAAGCTCTTTTTAAAAGTGAAAATTGCCCAAAGGTGTTAAGTGCAGAGTTTGCTCACAACAACAGCTGGTACATCACATTTCAATCGGATATGGATGCACTACAGGTAAGCCTGCTTAGAAATGACACCATAGATCATTTTGAACTCACTGCCTTTCTAATCCTGACATCAGAATCTGAATTTGGTTATTGTCCAAGTATTTATTTATTTATTTTTTACATACAAGGAATTTGAGGTGCTTGTGGTGCAGAACATACAACATATGCAGAGAAAAAAACAAAACAACTCCATTCAAGTGTAAATATACTAAAAGCAAGGATAAATATAAGTGAGACTGGTCTAAACTAAGAACTAATGAGTTGTGCAAAACGTCATGTACGTGAACGTATTGCAGAAGTAAACATTTAAATGCAAATGAACATTGCAGTGCAGTGAGGAGTACACGTCAACAGGGAGGGTGTTAGTGTAAAGCATGGGGGTTCACTTTAAATTTCCAAAGTCGCCACAAACACTACTCTGTTTTTTTAAAAACTTTTTATATTATTGTTGCAGAACTGTCAGCTCAGCTTCAGGACAGGGAGTTGTAAAACACTTAGTCTTTCAAACTATGGAAGTGAAAGTGTCCAGTTTTCATTTACATCATATGAACTTTTCTTATCTTTTTTTTCTTTTTTGGGGCACCAATTCAGGCTTATAGATACCTAAGAGAAGAAGTGAAAACGTTCCAGGGGAAGCCAATCATGGTAAGCAACACATTTACTTGCACCGAGTTTCGGTCTCAGCTTTGATCTCTGCTCATTGTTGGCCATAAATAAAATAGGGGTGTGAAGTCAACAAAGCGTATTGCCGAACATGCATATTTCGTGTTTCGTTTTCTCTTTTTTTTCCCCCCAAGCTAAATAAAATGAGTCTTTGTGTAAATATTCCTGACTGTACCCCAGTGATGATCAGTATCGCGCTTGGAAGGACCCATATGCACTGTGACTGTCTGGGCCGATCTTTGAGCTGCTCTCTATTATTCTGTGACTGCTACTGTTCTGTTCCCATCCCTCCCTCTTTTAATCCATCTTCCTTCCCTCCCCCTTCCCTTTGGTCCCCATCTCTTCCTTTTCTCCTCCTAGCTGGTGCAGTGTTTTATGGCCTTATGACTGTGAGATTATGAGATCTGAGGGGACTAAAGAAAAATAGAGAATCAGCAATGATAATTGTTTGCATGCTGGAGTTCTTCTCTTCACACATGAAAAACATGACTTTCTTCTCTTTAGGCTCGCATTAAGGCCATTAACACGTTCTTTGGAAAGAATGGCTTCCACAGACTAGATTCAGGTGTGTACCAACAGCATGTGCAGCCACAGGCCCAGTATGACTACATGCAGCAGGTGTACAGCTCCCAGCAGCAGTATCCCGTTTACCCTGTGGTGTCGCCTTCCTGGAACCCTTCCGTCATGCCTCATTTTGAAACGCCACTGGTGAGTACATTTCAAAAAGCCCCTTGAGGCATTTTGTGAGAAAACTTGAACTGTAAAAATGATATTACATCAGAGAGGCTGCAGCCTTTTTAGTTGGCTTCCATCTACATGCAGTTTTGTTTTCAGAAGGTAAAAAATCATCATTGTCTTATTTAGGCACCCTTCCCCAATGGTGGCCTCATGAATGGTTACAACAGTCCAGGAAACTACAAAGCAAACTTGAACTCTGTTACCGCCCATCAGCCCCCTGCTAGGAACAGGTAAATTCATGTCACATTATGATTGCTGTCATTGGTCTAGCCTTCAGATACTAATACATTTATGATGAACCTGATTTTCAGTTGTATACATTGTTTGTACTTTGTTTGGACCTAGAAACCATATAAAAGGTCATCCGAGACCCATAGATGTCCCATCAGCTGTGGCTTCAAGAAGCTTAATGGAGGGTTTGTCTGCTCCCTTAACCCCTCTGGACCTCCAGACAGCAGGCACACTGTGTGGCCCCACACCGCAGACAAACCTGTCCTCGTTCAACTTTAAGGGAACTTCTTCAGTGGTTGGCATACCCAATGGGGATGGGAATCGGGCTGGCCGGGACAGGTGAATTAATAGGGTCTTGTTTTGTTGAAATCATTACTCATTAACATTTAGTGAAGACATGATGCAGAGTGAAGGTTGTTTAAACAAGCTGTCCATTTTCTCAGGCTTTTAGTTTTGAAAGACTCAAGACCTGAAGCATGTTAGACTCTGTCCTTTCATTACATCTGATTGTCTGGCTTTTACATTTTTCAAAACGTAGATACTAAATGTCACTATTTTTTAGGAGAGCCACTCATAGAAGCATGAGGAGAAACCGAGAACAACATAGCACGGTAGGTATACAAGCATTTAGTTCCTTTTTTTGTGTGTAAATTTGACTGCTTATTCATTGTTAGGTTGATGGAATCATTTTTATTAATTTATCTTTATGGATGATTTGAATGAAACACAGAAACCTATCCCTGTGATGGAGGCCAAAGCACCCCCTCCCAAGTTTGATCTGGCAGCCTCCAGTTTTCCTCCTTTGCCGGGATCCGTGGTCACTGTGCAGGGAGAAACTGTGCCAGAGATGCGCCTCTCTGATGTTGTGCGTGGACTCAAGGTTCCAACCAAAGTAACTTAACTTTTTTCATTTTGGTTTGTATTTTCTAACGGTATATTATTTAAAAGTGTGTGTAAATGTTTGGTTTTTCTTGTTTTTGTTATCCCTCAGGCTGTGAGCCAAGAAGAAAATTTGACCCAACAATTTAAAAACATGTCAATTCCTGAAAGCAAAGTGAATTCTATGGCCCAGCCTGACAAAGCTTCTCCTGCAGCCCCACAAATGGAAGCTCCATCATTAAGGTAACTAAAACTTCACTGTGATTAAATGCCATTAAATAACCAAATTGCGTATATAAAAAGATTTTGACGATTGCGTTTTTATTTTAGTCCTGCTCAGCCAGTAACGAAAGAGGACAGAGCTGAAACTCCTGTTGCAAGTTCACCGCCCCCAGAACCCCCCTCTCCAACCGGCTCAAAACATTCACCCGACATGTGCAGTCAGGATGTTCCCACAGAGACACCACCCTCACCTCTGGTCTCGCCAACATCTGAACAGGTGAGACCTGCTGAGATTTTATCACTAGGATGATCACTAGCATGCTGTAGCAGTCCATAGCTACGTATTGATTCATCGATCGGTTCCTTCAAGACAAGACTTTTTTTTTTTTTTTTGCTTAAAAATTCTGCCCCTTTAATTACAACTTTTGTTGGGATTTGTGTAAAAGATGATAATCAACTTTATAGATGTGTATTCTTGCATGATGTTTTTTCAAATTAAATTTCTTTTCTCGTTGTGAACTAATCAGGGTCCAAAAAGACTCAGTTATGCAGAGGTGTGCCAGAGGCCAGCTCGAGATCCTCCACCACCACAGATCCCCTCTCCTGCCTCTTCAGTCAGCCAACCGCTGCAGGAGCTCAAGGTCAACACAGTAGAGGAGCCTCGGCTCGGTTCCAGACAACCTCCAGGGAAACGTGGAGATAAACGACCTCCCCGGCAACCATTGCGCACCTTCAGAGGAGCACCAAGCCAAAACAGGGTAAAGGGATCAGGGATGAAGATGCAGGAGCATCAGAGGGGCCTAAATACAAGCAAACCGTTTTCCCCACAACGAGGACCTAGGCGCAGTGGCAAGGAGCAGAACATTCCCCCAACTTCACCAAAATAACATTTAAAGATGGAAGATACTATATATGTAAATGTATGTACATAGACAAATGATGAATATATTAGTTTTGATAGACTTATATCAAAGACTTAACATTGTTGCCTTCTTGAAATTATTTTTGAAAGACTGTAGATATGGCTCATCTGCTGAAGGGGATTTGAAAGCGTCAAGGTTTGGTTGTGATCTGAGCCTGATATGCTGGTGTGGCATACAATGTTGTATATTTCTCTTTTTTTCTTTTTTTTTTTTCTAGCCAGGTTTACCATGATATCAACCATTGATCCCATAGGCAGGCTTAATCTTTAGCATTTGTGTATTTTAAAGTCAAAAGATGAATCTCTTAACTTAATCTAACAAACTAGTAGTTTGACATATGCAGATTTTCTTTTACATGTTGATGTCAAGGATCCGCTACTTAAAATATTAAATGGAGCATGTTTAATTGTAACTCTTTTAATTTTTGTTTGCTTGCTGTATGAATAGTGGTAGCAGGTTGCATTTACATTTTTTGGATATATGTTTTTTGAGAGGAGTTTTCTTGCTTTTGCAAACATTAAATCCATACTTATAAACATTTAGCAGAAAATTCTAGCTGATTGTGATGCTTCAAAGTGTAGCATTTATAGCTTTTCTATATTTCTGTATACCTCAAACATTAGTTTTTCACAGGAATCCTAATGTAGGCAAGAATTAAAATAGCTGGAAAAAGTTGTCCAGTTTAGAACCAACAGCTTAATTATGTGAACCTTTGCCGTTTGTATTTACATACATAAATGAAAATATTCACTAAAATGGATTAAACCTTTTGGATATTAATGGATTATTTGCCACAGGTCTTCTCACAGCATTTATGAGGGAGAGGCCCGGACTTTTACTGTGCCATTCCAAGAACATTAACTGGCCCATCTCTTGGTGGAACAAAAGACGTTCAATAATGCCACCAACACTTTGGTTTGACAATATGGTTTGTTATATAGATGATGCCCATTTCCACTTTTATCATCTATTCTTTGCGTACCACTGAATTCCACTCTTCTTGAGCATTTGTAAATTGTTACATGCCTGTGGTTGTAAATAAAAATGCACTTAATTGGATTTTTTTGTCAATCTTTGCAGACACTTAGATGTTACACAGCTTCTCTATGTTTATAATTTTTTTGCCTTTTTAAATTTAAATCATGTTCATAGATCACAGGATTGCAGTTTCCAGTAATGCATAAACTGTCAAATGTGTGCTAAAGTTATGTATGAAAATGCTTTTAAAGATTTCTGAAACTGTTTTGTAAATGTTGTCATTTGCAGTCAGGTGATAGAATAGAAATATCAGACAACTCATATGAGGGGAACCCCTCCCTTTGTCTTTTTGTCTGACGGCAGCTAGTCAGCAGGAGAACCAACCATGGCAAGATCTGCAAAATGAACAGCCGGAAATGGTCTTAAACATTATGTAACTGCTGTAAGCACGTTTGTCTTCCAGCTTCAACTAGACGTATTCAGCAGATATCACTCTCAGTTGGTACACAATATGTTGGTCAGTGTTGATTTGTAGTGGACATAAACGTGTTTTACAAAGACATAAGTGATGAAAATATGTTAAGATTCAATCGTGTTACGTAATACGCTGCCAAGTTTTAGCTCTCGCGAGATTTGTGTAATGGAAGTGTCAGAGTGTCAACAACGGACAGGCAGCAAGCAGTACAGCAGCACTGTCCAGTGTAGGGAGGGGGGAGTGAAGAGGCAGTTTAAACGTCGGGTAAGGTTGGGCAGATCTAGGGCATTTAACATTTATTGCGATATTTAGTAAAGTATGTGCTGTCAATGCTCATGAAATATGTGATACACTCTTCCGACTGCAGCCCAGTGTCTTAGCATTGCTATACTTAGCATTAGCTTGCTAATGTTTAGCTACCGACTTGGCGGACCTGTTAGTGTAAATTGTCATGGTAAGCTAATGCTTTGCTTAGCAGTTAGCATGAACATGGCTAGCTACGATGGGATAGTACGGTACTGTAAAATTGCTTTGTAAGGCGTATTCAGATGTCACTTCTAAGTTTTCTTTCCCACTGTGACAATATCTTACATGATCTCCAAAATTACATCTGTTTTGGATAAAAAATTTCTGATGTGGTAAACTGTAAGACATTATAACTTGCGGTCGATCTTTTAAAATATCAAAGAATTGCCACTTTAGATTAACCTGTGCATTTGAAACTGTGCTAGAGTGGCTAACCAGAAAAACAAACAAACACTGGACGGCTCGATTGCACAGTTTTTTGGGGGGCTTGTGTGACAGCCTGCCTGGGTTCAACGCGTTTGCCTGATTTTCCAGAGCAACTGCCCTAAACAGGCCGTCAGTGTCCGGCCTGTTTACACCCTTCCTGGCCAGTCACAGTGCGACCAGTTTAAATGCTCGGGGTGACAGGTGAACACGTGGAATCACCGTCTCAGATTGTGAGGCAGGTGCAAGGCAGTCAGGCTGATGTGCAACTTTGACGTTTACCACAGACCTCAATAACATTTATAGTGTTTAGAAAGCGCATTAATTAATAGAGGACCTTTTTAAAGTCCTTCAGTAATATTCAGCTGTTGAAAAGCAATCACTTGTGTGCCAAAAATCTAATTGAATAAATTGCTCTTGTTTAAAGAACATTTTTCTGAGATGGGGGATGATCGACCCTTTGTCTGCACCGCCCCGGGATGCGGGCAGGTAACGTATCTCTTATATGATTTCTTTCCAGTTCACTTTCCACTCACATTCACTAACCTTACATCAAAGCTTTTCTTGTTCTATAAATTAAGGTGCACAGGTTGATTTACCAATGACCAATAAACAACTTGATCTTGACCATTGGTGGTAAAATAAACACATATGGACGTGGGTGTTTTATGTACACAGTTTAATAAATTGTGTAATTACAAGTTTACGAAGTATCTATACACTGTGTGGTACTTCACCTCTGTGAGAGAAGATGTTTGTTTCCAAAAATCACAGACTGACTGATTTTCACAGTCAATTTGTGAACAGATGTTTGTTCAGCAGAGAATACAGTTCAATATAACTGTAATGGTACACCACACCCATGTTTCACACATTCTCTTTTGATCAGTAACCTTTTTTTAAAATAAAACATAGTTTTCACCAAGTGCTCACTTGTGACCATGTTGTCAATTGGTGCCTTTTTTCAAATTTGACTTGGTACGTAAGAGCCAATCAAACAAGAAAAAAGAAAAGAAAATGGGCTGAATGACAGATGAAGAGAAAACTTGAGGGCACTCTATTGATGAGCTCCTCTAAAGTTTGACCTAATGCTCATTTCTAAATGGCGATCAACCACAAAGCATCATAGTGGTATACTTAACTGTTGTTTATCTTTTCAGGAAACAGGTGCTGTTATTCACCTCACAGCAACTGTAATTACTTTCTTTTGAATAGTTTTGTCATTGTCAACAACCCTAGTGAGCAGAATCATATTATTCTTTCTGTCTTGCATATAAACATTAAACCTGCGTATTGTCTGTATGTTATTTACAGAGATTCACAAATGAAGATCACCTGTCAGTCCACAAACACAAGCATGAAATGACTTTAAAATTTGGACCTGCCAGGACTGACTCTGTTATCATTGCAGGTAATGACAACATCCTTTAAGTTGAATATAAAACAAAGAGCTGTCATACAGCTGTCAGTGCTCTGGAGGCCTGTCTATGTACTAGTTTATATCTGTTTGGAAATAGATAATTCTGTGCTGTAACGTGTCTGATTGATGCCATTTTTCTTTCAGACCAGACACCCACCCCCACACGTTTCCTGAAGAACTGTGAGGAGGTTGGTCTATTCAACGAGCTTGCCAGCTCGTTTGAGCAGGAGTTTTGCAAAGCACATGAAGACGAGCAAAGGACAAAACAACCTGTGAGGAAAAAGAATGAGTGTTTAATCCGTGGTATATTGTTGGCTTGTTCTTCTTGCTGCATGGTTTGAAGTCCCTCATCATATTGTGCTTTTGGTCTTTAAGGCTACATCATTACAGACACCATGTGAAGTAAAAGAAGAGGATGAGGGTCCTTTAGAAGTTGATTCATCTCCTCCAGGAAGTCCCGATTCATCATCCAGCATGTCTGATAACAGTAGAGATTCAAGGGTGAGAGGCAAAGTACCATGCATTACCACAAGCTGTGTGGTCAGCTGAGTGCTTGTGTGGTCAGCTTGAGAGTTGTTGTCCATTCATGCGTATGAAGTGAGAATATGAATTTGTTAACAGGAAATTCTCACAAAGCCTCTGGCCAGTTCAGCTCCTACTCCAACCATTGTGCGTCCAGGTTCTCTTCCCCTTCACTTGAGTAATGACCCACTACACCCGACTCTGCCATCGCCCACCTCTGTGATCACACAAGCTCCTCCCTCCAACAGACATCTCGGGTAAACCTCACAGAGTTCCCCTTTGCTGGAACATTAGTTGGCGGTCAAATTGAACGTCAAATCCTTTTGCAGTGTCTAAAAGTGTCTAATCTTTTGAACAGCTCCCCCACAAGTGCGTATCCACTGGTGAGGCACCTCCCTAATGGGCAGACGGTGCCTCTGTTGCCTAGTCCTGTACAATTGACCTCAGTTATATCTGTAAGCGATTTCAAGAGTACGAAGAAAAATACAAGTTGTGCTTGAAATTTTTTTTTTTACCGTCCCGTTTGTCTCTCCCTTTTGCCTCTTATGGATATTTGTTTTGACTTGGAGATTGCGAGGCCAGTGAACACAGTGCCAAACATCCCTGGAATTCCAGGACCTCCTGTTGGAGGTGCAAGCAGTGGCTCGTCTTCACCTTCTGGATACAGCCTTCACTCTGAGACCAAGATGGTGAGATCTTTATCCAAGTTATCATTAATTGGCAGCAGGCACTGATTCCGCTTATCACGGTGGCTGAATTGCTGAAGTGGGTTGTTGTTGGTGTGTCTCTTAAAGCGGCTGAAGGCAGCACTGTCTCATCAAGGCCCAGGAGCACAAGATGGAGCAGGAGGTGGATCAGGATCCATCCCCGCAGTCCCCCAGCGGCAGGAACAGAGCCAGCAGCCAACTCAAAACTCTGATGCACCTTCACCCGCCCAACCACAGGTACTGTAATTAGTTTTGCACACCGGTCAAAGCAGTGACCACACTGGCATGTAGAGAAAATCTTTTGTGCCTTTCCACTCATTGAACAATACTGGATACATTCATATAGATAGTGCTATCAGCTAACCTCATCCTCCATTCTCAATCTGGAAAATGCTAAATAAAGCATTTTTACAGTGCCCTTGTCATGCCCCCGGTGCTCTCTTTACACTATTACATTTGAAAGTAGATGGTGCAATCCAGGCAACACTTCCAGTAAAAATGATTTCAGTTTATTTCCCGTTTCTCGTTTTTGCTTTCTGTCAGTTATGTGTGGGTGAAGACCTCCATAACTTTTAAAACATGTTAGTTCTACTATGTAGTTCATTAAAAGAAGCTGCTCTTTGTATTTAAACATTTATACGGGGTAAATTCATATAGAGTTCACTGAGTGCATGACCGTTCCTGGTTCAATAAGGCTAGTGCAAAAGTAAAGAAAAGGCAAATAATGAACGGATGAATATTGAGTCAGAAAAAAAAAGTTAGCTTCGGATTGCTATGTGGTTAAATTCTAAAGCTTGAATCGAAACAAAAACACTTGAGTGTTTTCTCTGCTCTGTGTATAAATGTATGTATCTCAGACAAATTGCTAATTTAAGATCGCATTTAGTGTTTCAGTCGTAGATATTTTGGTGTGACCATATCGGACTGAAGTTTGGAACTTGTAAAATACTATTAATATTATAATTAATATTGAATATGAGTTGTGTCACATGTAGTTGTTTCGTGTTAAAGAGGCTGCTCTTAGCCTGCAGATGATTAGACTTGTGTTTGCAAGCATCCCACTTACTTTCCCTCACCTCCAGGTGTCCCCTGCCCAGCCGACAGGGGGCCGGCGGCGGCGTGCAACAGAGATGGACCCCGATGAAAGAAGGCAGCGCTTTCTGGAACGAAACCGGGCAGCCGCCTCCCGCTGCCGACAAAAGAGAAAGCTGTGGGTCAATTCTTTGGAGAAAAAGGCAGAAGATCTCGCCAATATGAATGTGTCTCTATCGGTGAGTTTTCCCCAAGCTGCACACACACCATTGCTCTAGCCGTGGTAGCATTAACAAGTGGGGATTGACTTGTGCGCTGTATGTGTTATCTCTCCATTAGAATGAAGTAAGCCTACTGAGGAATGAGGTGGCACAGCTGAAGCAGCTCCTTCTGGCTCATAAAGACTGCCCCGTCACTGTAATGCAGAAAAAGGCAGCTTTCTTAGGTAAACATTGAAGGGCATGAAGTGTCCAACACACTTCCTGTACTGTATTCACCTCTCATGTCAGGGTTCATCCATCATCCATCTAATGTGTTATTTTTACTCGCCCACCTCTCTAAGGGTGAATGTTGCTCTGTCTGTCTGTAGCAGCAGGAGGAGAGGACGCCTCCAGGGATCCTTCGGCGGAGCCCATGGGCTCCCCGGCGGCCGTCATTCAGCACGGGCCGTCGCCCTCCGCCTCGGCTCCCAGCCCAGGGGCCACCATCAACGGGCTGAATGTCCGCGCTGCCGAGGCAGTGGCCATGTCTGTCTTGGCTGGCATGGGGTCGGGGCAGCCCGGTGGGGTTGTCATGGCAACGCAGTCACAGCCGGCCCCAAGATGATGTGCGGACGACGGCAGCCAGAATGAACTCGAGCAGCATTTGGAGGCCGGAGAGGTGCAAACATTTGTCGTAAAGAGGGAGCCACCCTCAGACCCACACCCCAGACTCAGAGACTTTCTCCCCTCACAGCCTGCAGTAATCACACACAGACGTGTTGCAGTGCCTCCGTCAACCCTCCACTTCCAGCAGGCAACTTTTCAGAGAAGCTTTGTCACTTTGCATATGTAAATAGGAGCAACACGTGGATCGCTCACTCTACAGGGTTTGGGGTCATTTTCTATTCAGTTATGACTGTTTTGAAAGCATTGTGGGTTTGGAAGAAAAATTTGAATGAAAAATCTTATCAGCCAATCTCATTTTCACTTCAAAGAGTGACACATCTGTCCAACTTCCTCCCTCACACAGGGTGTGATGAGGTCTGCGTCTTTCCAGGCTGGCAGTTTTATTGTAAGATGTCCTGCATATTTAACTTGTAAGACAAGATTTTTATGCCAGGCTCGCGTTATCGACAGAATATTTTTCTTGTGTTGTTCAAATCTGAGGAAAGAATGTCATGTGGGCAGTAAAATGCAGCCAGATAAGTGTTTTTATGGTCTTTTTTTTGTTTGTGTTTACTTTCCAAGAAACCCTTTAATTTTATAACATTCTTTTTTTAAATTAATTCTTCATATTTACACTCAACAGTCAAGTCAGCTGAGTCCCTAATGAACCAAATTGTAGATGTGAGCACTGTTTACCCTGTGATTGTGCCTGACACGTTTTTTTTAACCATCTATTTTAACCCATTTAGAATGGATGTCATGATATTACTCCTTTGTAAAACCCTATTGACTGCATGAATTATTCAAGGCTGAAGAATACCACTGTTTGCGTGTAGTTCATCGTACTATCACTGTTTTTCTTCTGAAACATCAAATTATTGATGCAAAAAAAGAAATGTGTAAGGATTCCATCCTCAGTCCTAATGTGACACACTTGAAAAGGTTAGTCTTTTAGACATTCAAATGATAATCAAGCATACTACATTTTAAAACCTATACCCAAGCATTTCAGTTGAGGAAAAAGTAGTGCAATATATTTTTCTATTGAATATCAATGTTCTTGCTTTTAGCTGACGTGTGTAGTCCAGCTGCTAAGAGGGGTTTGGTCTATTTCGGTCAAAAGCTATAGTTATGAGGTGACCAAAGTAAATGTGAAGATGAGTATTTTTGAGTGAATGGAAATGTTGATTAGTGCACGTTTGTCAGCTACAGATGTTATCATCTTGGGTGCTTTCCATCCTATAGTAGTCAGTCTTGTATAATGAAGTAGACCTAATACTTGAGCAAGGTGCTTCTTTTGACATTAAGTTTGGAAATGCAGATTATTTTATACAATGTTGTACTTCCAATACTGTCCTTTTTTTGTTTTTGTTTATCCCTCTGTGTTTTTCTTTTCATTTTCTCCAAAATTATTTCCTTTCTTTCTTTAGGCGGTTAACTTGTATTTCTCCATCATGTAACAGTTTGACCCCTTGGTTTGTAAAAGGATGTTTGTTTTTTTATTCCTTTTCATGTTTAACATCTGTTGAACTACGTGAAAACCTGTTGGAGCTATCTGTATCAGAGGGAGTTAGCTAAATACTCAGGCCTCAAAATGGGAAAAATGACTTGTGTATTGTCTCAGCTAATGAATAAATTGTCTCGGCAAATGGTCAAATAAATGAATGCAAAATTAAAGCTGTCTCGCTTCTATCTTTTGCCCCTACTTAGTTGAAGTTACAAACAAATTGAACAGAAAACCTCAAAATGACTCATTCGACGCATTAGACGAGAACAGCTGCCATTTCCGGCGGCCATGTTTGTTTAGTTACGCAGACAAAAAAATGGCACAGATTCAAATTAGGGTGTGTCGTCGCACCCTGTCCACCCTGTTTTTTTTTTATGGCCGGATATTAATCCCACAGGTACGAATGTTGAAGTTTACGTTTTTTGTTATGTAATTAACTGCTATTGTACATGTATCAGGACTTTTCGACCGTAGAAAAAAAACTCCCTCTGATAAGTTGTCAATATATATGTTAGATCTGAGGCGGCTCGTTTCCACCTGAGGGGAATGCGGCAGGTGAGCGTCGTTGCCTTCCCTCCCAGCTGCGAAGGCGAACAGCAGAGGGAGCAGAGAGCTCTCTGGATCCCACCATCCTGTCACAGCAATTACCATCAGCCCGGGTCACGTGACAGCCGGACTCTGGCGAGTTGCTCCTATCCTCCACAGTCATGGCGGTGTCGGGGAGTCACGGAGATGGAGTAAACACCATGTCTGCGTCTTGATTTGTATGCCGCCGTCTCCCGCTGGACTTTACTTGTCGCCGTTTGAAATCTTACACCCATCCTGCAGGCTGCCGTGCTTCCAACCATGACCGACCGCGGCGTTGATCTGTCGGCTCTGCCTAAAGAGGTCAGGGACCAGCTGGCGGAGTTGGATCTGGAGCTATCCGAAGGTAGGGTGCTCGTACCGTGCTTTAAGAGTTGGAGGCGCGGGCGATATTTGATGCAAACTGAAGGAAAAGTGCGGATCCTGAGCGCGTTTGTGCATTAGTGGGCACACACAGCCCTCCCGTGTCAGCTGAGGGAGCTGCTGCAGTGGATCGGGTCACGAATGCAAGAAATTAGAAAAAACCCACTGACCTCATTTCTAAGCCTTTATTTCTGCCAAATGGCATCGTATTTTAAGCCGTGTAGAGATTATTATTTGTATAAGCAGCCAGCAAATGAGCAAATTCTGGATTTTAGTGTTGTGTCTTGTCATTTTGTTTGCTCCTTTTTTTGTTTTTCCTCTCACATCGTCAGACATCCCCCCCCCCCCCTCCACACACACTGCTTCATCATAGTTAAATGAGCATACACACTCCTGTGGAGGAATATGGGTCAAGTTTGTCATTCTGGGATTGTGTGGGGTTTCAGTGGACACTAAATGATGCTGCGGCCCCCCAAACGCTCAGCCGGGTCGCTCTCACAGTCCGAACCCTGATCTGCAGCAGATATCTGAAAGGACTGACTGTAGGAAACAGGAATATGGATCGTGCTGTTATGCAAGTCTCCTCCTCATACTGTGAATCACAAGGCAGCAGCTTGATTGGTGCTGTGCAGTTCTCAGGTGCCTGGGGGTGGATGAGTAATGTTATGTTTTTCATAGAGCCAGGCAGGAGGAGGGAGGTATGGCTCCCTAATGATGTCTTCACTCCCTCTTGCATTATAGCCTCATATGCATAATCTGATCTGCCTTTGCTCATGTACTATAGGACAGGTGAAACTTCAACTCACATGTGGGAACCCCGTCAGGGACGACCCTCCTTTTTTGCTGGACCTCTCAGTACTGAAGAGTGTTTGTGCTTCTAGGTTGCTATTAGACTACAATTAAAGCACAACAATGAGGTTGAAAATAGTGGATTGAAAGTTCACTACCTAATTGATGGGGCGAAAAAGTGAATGTCCGCACGTCATCAGGTGTAATGCACCAAACAGCCCTATTGTTTTTGAAATGCAAGTCTTTTCTTTGTAAAACTACGACTACTCATGTTTGTGAAGGATGTAGTTGAGTCTGACTCAAGCTCTGTAGGTTGTGGTGTGAGAGCCTGGCAGGATTGTGCAATAAGTCAGTGGCATGGAAGCATTTAAGGTCATCTTTGTGAAACAGTTTTGGTTTAATCTAAATCTCTGACATTTGTACAGATAATGTACTTTTAGCCTTTTTTTTCCTCTTAGCTTCATACACAAACTGTCCAAAAAAACAGCTATTAAACAACAATCCAAAGGGTTTTTGATTTCTCAACAGCAAAAAGTGAACAAGCTGTTTCTCATCAAATCAGATTTACTTTTAGTTTCCGTGTCTTCAGGATTTATCTGCCATTTGAAAGTTTAGTCACAAATACCACAACTTAGATTCCCCCCCGCCATTTCTTTTAAAATTGATTGTTGTGGGGTTTTTGATAGGCTGAACAACACTTGTCACCATTTTCTGTTGTTTCAGAGGAAAAAAAAGTAAATTAATTGTAAAAAAAAACTAAAACTAAATGATATCCAAATTTGTACTGTCACTATAATAATAAGTGCGTGCTGCAGTCCTCATTTACAGTTATTCAGTAAAACAGCTGTTGTGCAGCTGGTGTATTGGCAGAGCAAGTGGAAATCTATGAGTCTATGTCAGTCAGTTTGTATTCTTTTAAGTGAGACTGACTGGTAAAACGACACCGCGTGTGTCTCCGTTGCACCCTCACCCAGTCTTTGAGTGCCACAGTCATTTGTAACCGTAGATCGGACATAATTGTTTTGCTAGAGAGTAGGCTCTGCTGTCCAGATGTCCTGCTTCTGTATTTCCAACTCGCAGAGGGCCGTCTGCCCGACGTGCACTCAGCCTGTGCTCGGCTGATGGCACAAGTCAAGAAGCAGCTGGACACCCAGTGAGGCTGAAGCTTTCTCATGGATATCTTTTACATGACAACAATTCCCCCGATTGTTTTCTTCAGAGATATTCCCTAGCAACATGCAGAGAAAAATGCACATCAGCATTTTCCTTCATTACAGAAATAAAAGCGAGCTGCTCTGTGAGGGTGTTATGAGAGAGCTCCACCTGCTTTAACGTCCATGACTGTAAGAACACAAAGAAAACCTTTGTGGGGGTCAAGATATTGGTGACTGAGCTGGACTGGAATTTAGAGCTCCAAACCACAAGTGTTGCTGCTCAGCCCCTCGAATATGTGTGGGCATCATAGTGTCCAGAGATTGACGTGGTGGTTATGTGGTCGGCTGATTAGTTGGATGCACACAGTTGAAACTGTTGTGTGCATTTTAAGGAAAGAAAGTGAGTGGCAAACAGATAACTCACTAACAATGTCGTGCAAGTAACATGAGTTAAAACTGAATTTGTTAATCTTTTGTCATTCTGAACTGAAGTATGAAGTCCCAAAATAAAGTAGCTGTCTGTACTTTTTCGGCAGTTCTTGCTCACAATCTTTTTCATGGCTTCCACTGAATTATCCTCATATATATGAAAAACATATGAATATGACTATTTTTTAATTCACACCCACATATTAGGGCCAGTGTAGCCCCAGTGACAAACGTACTTTTAGCATCAAGCTGAAAGAAACATCAGCAGCCATTAAAGACTAGTTGCAACAGTAATATCTCACACAACTGAAACACTGAGACGTTTTAACACGTGTGTGACCACTGGCCTGTAATTGTCCAGGTGCATGTGCATTAGTAGGGGATAGTCGTTTTACAGAAAAATCTGCTGCAATTTATTCGGCACACAGTACGTTTTCGGAGCTCAACAGTTCAGGGTCACTGATGTCTGATTCTGCCCTTCATGTTGAATAGGAGACAGATATGAACGGTGGGCACGCCAGTCAAGCACAACCACTTGTACCGCTGTTGTAAGTGATACACAACAAGTTATTGCTTTTATTCCCTTTTTTTTTACTGAAACAACCCCCTTACCTACCACTCTCCATGTTCAAATCTCTCTCATCTTTGGCATTAAGAACTCAATGCCAGAATAAACCTATTGACTCGTGTGAGCCCAGAACACATGTACTGTACACTGTTCTGAAATGTTACTACCCTCAGAGCAGCATGTCTGTGCAGAGTTGATGTAACCATCCTGTTGGCATAATACAGTTTGCAGGATACACTTGTGGATGCAGCAGCTGACTGCCCTGAACGAAATGGGTTTTCAACGTACTGCAGTTGTCATATGGGTTTATTGATCATGATGGTTTCTCTTACAGAGTTACATGATTAATGCAAGGTCATACACATTAGCCCTGAAAGACCCTTAGTTTTTTAATGTTTGTAATGAGAAGTATATCTACTTAACTGACTGGTGACTGTCATCCATCATCATTTAATCTGTTAAAGGTTGAATCTTCCATAATATTGTCATGTGTACATTCTATAAAGTTTTTATCCTCTCTCCAACTTTTTTTGGAGTGTTCTAGATAATTCAAAAGATCTGTCCAGTCACTGTCACAACACACTATTCTATGATGAATTAAGATCCTCCAATTAACCTGTTTTTAGATGAATGGAGGAGGCTGAAGTGAAGCACCCTGAGAGGAGTATGCACAGTAGTGAGCCGAAATTCTCAGCAAGACAGCTTCTAATTCAAAAGATGTTTTATCCTAAAAGATAGACGATTTTGCCTGATTAGCTTTCAAGTTTAGCTTTTCATCTTATGAAACATTTCCTTGATGGCCCTGACGTCTTTAGCATCATTTCATGGGAAAAATGCACCTCTCCAACACAGCAGAAACCGCTCAGGGATGGTTCAATAATGGTAACAAAAGAAGACACTGTGTTGTTGCCAGATCTGCCAGATCCAAGATCTGAACCCACAGAGCCCAAAAGAAGAGATGCCAGCAGAATGAAGCTGCGGCAGATGCCACAGGTCCATTCCTCGGCTGGACACAGATTTGCTGACACATTACTCAGGCACAGGAGTACTTTTAGATTAGTGCTCTTACCAGCACGCTAGGCCTGCCACCATTAAAAAAGCTAATCCGCTAATGTTTACTGTGCCCACCATTTAAGTTGAACTTGTTTGCAGACTGACACAAAGTATCATGACACACAAGTACAGCTGAGACTGATGAGCAGGCCATTCGTCAATAGATCCCATTGCGGTCGAGATATCTGAGTGGACTGTCAAACAGAGGTTAACAACCCGTAGACCTCTGCTGCTGCTGTGGCTGTAGCTGCAGCTCCCAAATCCGTTGTCATTTCAGGGTGTCACTACTAAACAAACAGCACATGGCATCTCCGCTGGTCCAGTGTGCACACTGGTGCGTTTTCTATAAATGCATAAAACTATACATTTCAATATAAGCTGCTGTCACTAGCTGTCATTCCTTCTGCACTCAGTAATTTGATAAGTGTGTCCTTACTTTAAAGGCTGGGTGGATCATGTTTGGATGTGCATTATCCGGTGAACATCCTTCTTACTGTCGTCTGGCTACAGAGATGTGCAGGACAGGCAGGTTTACATGTCCGCAGCCTGTTCCATACTGACAAGAGAGGGAGAGAAATGAGAGATTACAGTCGTGCCTGCGTCTCTCAATCTAGGTCACAGAGCATCAGGGGGCAACATGCCTGGCTCATTTAGCCTTTGAGTCACATTAGGCTTGGGCTGCTGCTGGGGATTTCTCCCTCTCTTGCACCCTCCAACTCTAAATGCTCTCTGTCAGTTTTCATCTTTCCCCTCATATTGAAGTATTGTTTTAGTTCCTCTTATTAAAAAGAAAAAAATGCATTCTTAACAGATGAGCCTGGTATTATCCAGTCATACTATTCAGAGACTAAAACCCACTATGCAGTCATTTGTTTCTTCTTATGTGCAACCTTTTCTGTCCTGTTTGTCCAAACCAACTCCCCTGAAGCATAAATCTTTAAGATATGTTACAGCAGGAAAGAGGGAAAGAAAGCAAATTATATATCAATG